CTGTACAGTATGACATCTATAATCACTATTTTGCCTTCAAAGTCTGTTGAACTTTGCAAGTATCTGAAATAAGTTGAGGTTTTTTTAGCCTGTTGCACAAAACCATATAAACAAATGGTCAGGTATTTTCCCATCTGTGTTTTCACTTTCTGATTCAAATGGGGTCCTACTTAAATCAGTGATAAGCAGAATTCTACTTTCTTATATCAAACTGAGTTAGTTCATATGCTGTTTCTAATATGTTCTTGCAATACAATATTATTTTGAGTGAAATACATTTTTCTATTCTTATCATTATTCTTCATTTTAAAAGAGTTCTGTTCCCTGTGTGCTAGATGCATATATCATGTGACTCTACTGTCCAATTTTGACCATGGTTAGTTCTCTAAAATATTGATTTGACCTACCTGACTCTAGACCTGTCAAATGAAGATAAAATACCTGCCTTAGGGTAGTTGCTATCCTAGGTAGGCTGCTGGTCTTCAACCAGAGTATGAACTAAGTTCGTCAAAGTGAAAATGAGCTGCATTTAATTTGATTCCCTGTGATGGATAGTCTTTAGATAACAGATATTGTATGCTCTTCCTGTAATCATGACCTGGCTAGAACTCATGTGTTCTCTTCATTATTTGAACAGTGTGGTACATTCATAGTTCGCAATGTAATGAATTTGTCCTAAACTAACTATATTATGTTTTAAAGTTACTTGTTCTATTAAAATATTTATTACCTGAATTATTAAAAATGTAAATATGGAATATGCAATTGTTCGTTTTGAAAAATGCTTGAGAGCGAGGAGATTGTTCCCCTTGTAATTTGGTGTGAAATTCCCATTACATTACATTTCCTTTGGTTTATAAAAACATACTTTAGTAAACACCATTTCCATATTTAAGTGTTTGGGAGACATATGTCATGCATTTGCTGGTTGAATGTCTCTAGATATCTGGAATAGGCCAGTAACTTTATGTAGATGACGACCTGAAAATATGGATTAGAACTACAAATGTAATTCATAGAACCTTGCAAGCACATTACCTTATAGCTTGGTCCTTGGCCAAGTTTCTTTCTCCTGTTTCTGTTTCGTTTCAGTTTGTGAATTTTATGTGCATGTGGGTTTAGGTCTTTATGGGGGAAAGGACAAAGCAAACTCATACAACCAAGAGCAGAGGATTACTTGTGTTATCGGGTGGAGGGTCCTGAGGCAGATCAGATCACGGACTGAGAGCAGATACAAGGCATACTCAGGGACTTTGCTGAAGAACACGTCTCATGGGAAGCAGAAATAACTGATGTAGTTGTTCACACACATCCTGAGAGTTTTCTTTCCCTGTGACTTGTGCAGATCTAGGCTGGAGTCAGCTCTGGAGATCATCCCATCCAATCCCCAGCTCAAGGAGAATCGGCTACAGCAGGCTGCCCAGGTCTGTGCCCAGTCAGGTTTTGATTCTCTCTGAGAATACGGACTCCACAACACCTCTGAGCAGGGCTGTCACAGTGTTCAACCGCCCTCACAGTATAAAAGTCTTATATTTACACAGAAATTTTTTTAATTTCAGTTTGTGTGTCTTGTGCCTCATTCTTTCACTGGGCACTGTTGAAGGCAATCTGGATTTGTCTTCTTTACACCTTCCCACCAGGTGTTCACACAGGTGGATAAGATCCCCATGAGCCGCATTTTCTGCAGACCAACACCCAGCTCTCTCAGCCTCTCCTCGTATGAAACTCCAGTCCCTTAATCATCTTTGTGCCCCATCACAGACTCATTGCAGTAAGCCCTTGTCTGCCTCGCAGTGGGATTGGCGTTGCATTGGGCCACATTATTCACCTGTCTGAAAATTGAGTTCTCATCAAACGACTGTACCAGGGGGAGCTAGGGTAACACCAGAGCTCAAACCGAACCTGCTGGTCTTTAAAATCACTGTAAGCAAATGCTGCTGGAGGCTTACCAGCAAAGCTGTGGTAGAATTGCCTCTGCTAACCTGCAGTGCCGATGTGGAGGAAAGGATCTTGCCTACTGTTTTCTTCTGGAGGAAATGTCTAATGCTCTTTCTACTGCTGTTAGTTATTAACACGTCTGAATTGGCATTTATTGGTATGTGCTGAGTTCCTCGAACAGTACAGATTTTGAACAGCAAGACTCTGTTGGCCAGTGCTGGCAACCATGGTAACCTGAAATTGTCATTAAAGAGTTATTCTGGAAATGAAACAGGCAACTCCACATCCCCTTTGAGCAAGGAGAGCCATCGAGCATTGCCATGGAGAGAGAGGAACTTGGGTTAGATTCCCTGTAGTCTTTCAGGCATTCAGTGAAGTACATGATACTTGAAATACCAGTTATTTACTTTATCTCTTGATTATAAGATAGGAATCTTTCCCTTTTAAAAGTTGCATCAAATCTGGTACATGAGGTTTTTAGTCCTTTTGGGAGATCCTGGTAGTTATGGAAGTGCGATATGGAATAACATATTTGTAGGTGAATGCAGTATGGGCATCTAAAAAATGAAACTTGAAATTGTAATAAATGCAGTGCTGACGTAACAGAAGTTGGAATAATGGAAAGCTTCAGGAAAATTTGAAGGCGCAGGAGCCAGAAGCATCATTATAACTTGGTAAACGTAATCAGAAGAGTTAACGATATCCAACAGTAATGCAGCAGCTTTACTGAAGAAATGATCCCACAAGGCAGCCTGACAAAGTTACTTGCAGACAAGAAAGCAGTGGTAGACTAAGTGAAGTATGACTGTGTGTTTGGTATTCATAGTAGTGAATGCTTAAGCATTTATTCGAAGTAGAGTCTGTTAGGTGAGACTTTTAATTAGGGGCAAAGCCCTGCTCTTACTAGTTAGTTATCTGGCGATTACGTAAGCAAAGTTCCAGTGAAGCCGTTAGAGCTATTAGAAGATGCTGCCTTTTTTTCCTGTGCCAGGATGTCGGGGCAGCATCCTGCGTGGCTGTGGCTGTGGCTGTGGCTGTGCAAGGAAGCTGCAAGGACAGCACATGCCAGTCCTCAGGCACTGCTTTCCTCGGATCCCGGCTTGCCTTCTCACTTTGGCAGACCCAAGCAGGAAATCTCAGTGGGTCAGTTAGAGGTAGAAGGGGACTTTCTTCTTCCTGGGACTAAGTTGATTAGCTACTGTGAGATCATTTGTAAGAAAAAATCTCTGGTGTTATAGATGGAAACTGAAAGCCATCAGTGTGATGCTTGGCCACAGTGAGAATGACAGAGATCTGGGTTGTATTAGTAGGTGAGCAGAGCAGAAAACAAACAGGTGAAATGGCATTTGTGGGAAGGGGTAGTTGGCTATACATGTGCTACTGTGCGTGGCTGGCAATGCATCGTATAGCTTCGATGGTTAAGGTACAGGCGAGTGTGATTATGATGATAAAAGGCTTCAGAGGCTACAGCTCTTTGGGGTTGTAAGGAAGAGGCTTGCAGCCTAGAATTTACTCGAAAAATATTTTGACACAAAGTATTTGTAGGGACAAAATCCTGAGCTACAATACAGCACTAATGAGCAGTGCCTAAATCTTGGTGTTTGGGTGCATTTAACAATAATAAATTGTCAACAAGACAGCTTTTTCATCACTACTTCTGCTTGGGTTTGTTATATTATGCAGACAGATGTGAAACAAGTCTTGTCAGCCTTTTTTTGCTGAAGAAACATGACAACAGTGTTATCTCTTAGCAAGTAACATGTAACCCTTCAGCCTGTGTGAAAAAACAAAACAAAACAAAAAAAACCAAAAAACTGTTTTCACTTTCCCTCTTGGCAGTTTTGTTGTGGACAAACAAGGGACATTAGCGACTGTGATTTAGGGTTCTTAAGCCTGAGAAAGTGTCAGAAACTCAGTTTTTAACCACATAATAGAGTGCACCCACATAGAAAAAATGAACAGGCTAATTTAAAATTGCAGGTAATCAGTAATACCAGAATTTATTAGTTTTTCATAAAATTACAGATATTCAGGAATCTCAGAAATCATAGGCATTTTATTGAGTACATTAAATGACAGTGTTTACTGATGAACAATTATACTATTCAGACAAGAAGAAAAACCCAAACATAGAAAGTCATGTTGATTTTGAAAGGTAATTTACGCAACCTCCTGCTTTCCCCAACCCTATCGCCCTGGTCACTGTCTTGATACATAGCAATGTTTCAACAGCTTTGGGGATGAATAGGTGCAATTGAGAAAATTACCTGCTATGTTTACCTGCTGTGTCAGCACTCGGTTTTTGTTTCGGAACACTGGTCTGTTCGGGGAAAGGCCTA